CCTCAATTGTTGTTTCATTCAATACAAAACCGTTCAATTATTTATTCATCAAATCTATAATTAATGTGTTATTTAATAAATTGTTCATAAATTAAAAATTTTTATGTATTAATATATAATATAGAGACTTATATAAAATAATATTTTAAATCTGATCAGAGCTTAAATATCGTAAATAAAAATAATGTTTTATTTTAATCTCATATATGTTTTAAATTTTTATTTTGAAAAATTATTAACATTTCATTATTTTAATGAAAGAATTAAAAACAAATATAAAACATTTAATTCAATTGATAGTGGTAAAACCAATGAATTAACAATTTGTTATAAGTTATAAGTTATAACTTATAACTTATAACAATCACCAAATTATTTGTTGTCCGCAACACATTATTTGAACCAAAACTGTCACCGAAACGGATTCATACTTTAGAAGACATCAATATGTACAAAAACATACATGTATTCGCATATTATGCAATTCAATTAACCCGGACACAAATTATAATCAAAATAGTTTTTAACATATACGGTATAATAGAGCACTCAAATCAAAATATTCTTCAAATTGTATTTAGTATATTTTGTCAAATGTTTATTATAATCATTAATACAAAAAATAATAATATCAGTCATAAAAGTAATTGACTCAAAGAATCATTATGAAAATTTACACAAAAAAATTATATTACATAAAAAATTATAGTGTCAGATAAATAAATAAAATTGTGTATAATGATAATATTGTAAGTATACTTTATATATCAAAATTACTGCTGAATAGTATGAAAATGTAAAGTTTTAAAAGTTACATGCATTCATATTTATTAATATTTACAAAATTAAAACCAATTGTATAATAAAAATAATCAATTTATAAAAACTATCGTTTAATAGAGTATTTTAACAAGCTTTGTAAAACTGATATATCGTATCAAATGAATATAATTGATTAATTAATCGGCGGAAAACTATTTCTTTATAATAAAAATGCATTCAATACTAAAATATAATTAAGAAAAATGCATATAAAATCAGTAAGAATTTCAGATTGAGTTTATATTTATACTATTACTGTATGTCTGTAATGCATATTTTATAAGTAAGATATTATTCTTATACCACATACAGGTTATGGTTTCATAAGTAAAAATAAATATTTATAATTTAAACTAGAATATAAAATATACACATAATTATTAATAATGTACTAATTCTCACATGAAATATGAATTGGTTTGATAGCCGGCATTAGATGTGACGAAAGCGGAGTGAGTGTGAGGCCAAGAAGTAGAGTCGGCTATATTTCGGGCACAACTCAACGACGCCGACGACCAATGAGTGGGCGCTATGCCATCGCCGGCGTTGTGACCGCTGTATTGTAATTCATTGTTGGATGCATTAGTTGGATGTCCGGCACTATTATTTGTATTCAGTATATTAAGCATCGGTTGACTAAAATGATCGTTCGTGTAATTGGGATGAGCTGTCATCTGATGTGATGCTATAAATGATGGTTGAACTGAAGGCCCAAAGTTCTGGTGACTATTCCGAGTCCAACCAGATTCTGATAATAAGGCAAATTTAATTTAATTTAGAAATGTCATATAAAAAATAACAAACTATATTTTTATAATATATTATCATTACTGAGATTTATTATATAATTTATTAATTAATTATAAAGTCAGTAAATCTAACATCAATTATGATTTGTTATGCTTATGGAAATAGTATCGTACAGTATAATCAAAACATAAGACATACCGTTGTGTGCAAATTCTGGTCCATCCATATAATGGGATGCAATGTTTGATTGAGAATATGATCCGATGTTAATACTAGAGCTCGAAGACGAGGGTATTGGAGGGGGTGTTGACATAAAGCCAGAACTCATTTGTGAGCCCCCGACTTGTTTACGCCAACGCGCCCTACGATTACTGAACCAAACCTTAGAGAATTGATTTCATGAGAATTTTGTTATATAAATGTCTATTGAGTGCATAATTGTAAGTGTGAATCGGTTTCGCCTGCAAACTAATCTAATCTAATGGTATGGTTTAGTACCTGTACTCTCGCTTCAGTCAATTTGGTCTTTTGTGCCAACTCTTCGCGAGTGTAGACATCGGGGTATTGTGTCCTCTCGAAAGACCTCTCGAGTTCGTCCAACTGTTCGGCAGTGAATGTAGTGCGCGATCGCCTCTGCTTTCGCTTCAATGGGATTCCCGGCTCTGAATCGCAATCCGAGTCATCGCCACTCCGTCCTAATCCATGCATACATTATATTTATTAATCAATTTTCATTGTTTTTAGAATATTAGAATATATTTAATGCTGTATATCATGTGTTAAATTTAATAGATGTTAACAAATAAACTGAATTTTATTGTAAAAATCTAATTATTAAATGGTTTAAAGTTAATAATGTATATGAAGTAAAATATAGGCCCAAAGACCACACCGTAAGCAACAGTGGATTAATGATGGAAAGGTAGGGATTCTGTAGTGGACTGTTTGGTGGATTGTATGGGATTGTAATGGTTGTTGCCTTTGATGGTGGGCTAAGTATTGAACAACAATATGGAAATGAAGTTCAAAAGGACCGCAACAGCGCTCACACCTTATATTTATGCTTTTGATCGGCGATCAGGACTTGTTCTCAACAGTTGTGACTGCAATGACTTTTGTCGTGTCGGACAACGACTGCCTGCAGTCCATTACAATACAGTACAAGATGTGCATTGAAGTGCTCTGCGGGGGGCCGAGAGTCACACACCGCTAATACAGGCCATACATACATGACATACAGTGTGAGTGTTCAGTCTTTTTTGGCTTTTATATGTTGTTTAAAGAATTTAACCAAAAGTATTAAATTTTGGTTCAGATATTTCCACAAACAAAAGGAAACAATATTAGCCAACTCTTGGCCATTATTGGTGACATTTTTAGCTGATGGCCACCCAGTGAGCACTCGTATGCTTTAGGCCATCAGTGAATAGAAGTCGAAGATATAATGCCATCATTTAATGTACATATTATTGTAACCAAAAGTTAAAAAGACTAAAAGACTACCGAAAAGATGGTTATCTTTGAAGAGACCGAACGTCTATTATTATGAAAACGGATTGAATGCAAACAATTGCCGATTAAATCAGTTAGAGTCGAAGATGAGTCCTACATATTATACTAATATAATGTGTTAGACATGAGATTACTATATGTGACACAATGGTATGCAAACAATACTGTAGTCACCGATCGTCAGTTAAAACTGATCACAGGTGTCGAAAACAGGCGTAAAGTATCGCTCACTTATAGCGTATAAGAATAAGCAAACTATTTGATAAAAAATGATTTTCAATTCAATTGAATCTAAAGTTGTTTTTCTTGCATAAAGAATAGATGAAAATGATGTACAATCGAAATGGCGTTCATTCGCTAAATGGTGCCAATTATTAATGGTATGGACCCTAAGCTCTGGTAGTCTGAAAGCAGTGGAAGCACTGGAAGCGACTGCAAAAAATACTGCAAACGACTGCTTTGCGCCAAACAATCGTTTGGATTGGTTTCAGATGAATATTGTACTAAAGAATGAGTCGTTAATAGATGTGCGATATGTTGTATATATGTTGGCTGTAGTGATATGAGGAGCAACGGCTGTTCAGCTCCCGTATGGGCTCTACAGCCTCTATGATGAGAGTGTCTGGTGAACTGACTCTCTCCCAAATTAGCGTAACGTCCCATTCATGATATGAGGCCAACATGTGAACGGACGGAACGGCCAAAAGAAATATATATGAAATGTGATTCGCTATACTTGATTGTCCCCCCATTTTCGGCACTACTTTCCACGTCTCGTATGCTTTACACAATGGTTTGTCTCCCAAAACCAAATGTTCTATACGTTTGCTCCAGAAGTTGATCACAAGAATGAATAAACATTTAATATAGAGAGCGATTGATAGCATTAACAGGAGTAACAGCCACTGGCAGCGACTCAACCATCATTTCACGCACAAAACTTTTAATAGTAGTTCTCGAGAAAAATGTTTCTAATTTGTAAGTATAGGATCTTATGGTATAGTATGTGTGTCATTACCATCTGTTACAGTTTGTCAATGATTTGTGCCTCAAATCAAACACTTAATATAGTTTGGGATCGCTTTACGAGTGCCAGGTATAGGATATTTAGGCACAGTTTGCCAAATGCTATGCCTTAGCTTATAATAAAGCGTACAAATCACACAAATATGCGATGAGAATCATGTCTTACGCTTTTGGGTCAGCACTTCACGCATACAATAGCTCTTAACTAACTAACTATTTAGTGGCGCTAAACATACACTTAAATATATTATAGCATTAAAAAGCAAAACAAATCCAATTCTGCATCACTTACCGCCTAATATGCCATCAATGCTGTGGTCTTTACGCACAGAATATTCGTTAATTGAAACATCGCTTTCATTACCACTTCTATAATCACTGCCTCTATTACTTCCACGTAATACACGACTTATTGAGCTCACACTCGGAGCTGTATTTTTGTCACAAATTCCTTCCTATAAACACACCATTAAATAATTAATATTTTTACCATATTTAAAATAACTCTAACTTTAAATAAGATATTTGAAAAACAATCGTTTGATTTCTAATTCAAGCATAACTTAAATCTTTAAAATAAACTTTATATGCATTTTAAGAGTAAAGAAGCGAAAAGAGAGTAACATTAAAGAGACTTACTTTAATGAGTCGATCCCTGATTTCCCAGCTGAAAATACCCGGATTTTCTTTCTTGTATTCTTCGATCTTCTTCTCGACCTCCGGAGTGGCAACTCGTGGTTTACTGCCTCCTATAACTCCGGGACGTATACTTCCAGTCTCTTGATATCTATTGAGTATTTTGGAGACACATCCGTGAGAGACACGTAACTGACGGCTTATGACACACGGACGGACTCCGGCGGCCGCCATCTCCACTATCTTATAGCGAATGTGATTGGGAAGCGGGCGTCCATTGATGAATACACCTCCCAATTGGTTGACGCGTCCCTGACCTGCACAGCAATTTGTTACAAACATTGTTTTTAAACATTTATTTTTGATAAACCTTCAATCAAACTTAAGATTTCAATATTATGTGAACTCCACTGAGAATGCATTGCTTTTAAACGCAAGTTTGCAATTGTTGTCCCGTTTAAGACGAGTTCGCAAATAAGTCTGAAAGCTTTTGGACAACTGTTAACACTCTATTAGACTAGCGATGCGATGATTTGGGACTCAAATACACTGATTATCATTTAAGCAGAAAACATAGGGCGGAGGCATTTGGGACATTAGGGACATAATCATCTCATTACCACAACATTTTCTCAATATTAAGTTAATTAATACCAAATTTTATTCATCTATTGATTATCAATCATTTTGGTAGTGATGAGTGAAATAGACATCTCTGGCCTTCAATTCAATAATTCATTTCATTCTCACAGACTTTTCTGATAATTTTGCAAAAGATGTGTTCAAACAAAATCTCTTTAGTAAAAGTTGTATTAAAGCTTATTATAACTTATATAACAGTTATTTTAAAAGAAGTGTTGATAATACGCGGGTTGACATGTATTACAGGATATTTGTTTTTAACAAAAAAATATTTTGCAAATAATGCGTTAGAAAATTGATTTGTTTGAAGTATCCATTTATCCGACTTGTATTACATTAAGAGTATTGTTTAATTGAAAACATATGTTATCCCTGATTGTGTGGGAAAAATTATATTCATACTATAGACTAGCAATAAATTACTGAATGATTCCTTTGACTTGAGAAATAAATTAAATGTTCTGTAGTTAAAGGGTTTAGATGTAGGCAAACAAAGGCTCGATACTGAGGTGCGATCTTTAAAGCATAATACAATATATTAAATACTGTTTGTGTTTCTATTGCTGTCAAACAATTTTTACATTAACTTTAGGCAACACCTGTGCAGTCGATGCAAAAGAAATAAAAATCATTTTCGCACACATTTTGGCCACTAATTTATTGCATAACTCGATGCTAAACATAAAAACTCTTCTCTAACTTTTTGTTTCTCGCCTTCACTGTTATAATAGACTTGAATTTATTTTTTTTGTTTGAGTTATTCGACAGCTTATTGTTATATCTTATAAATAATAAATATTTTTGTTATTACAAAACCGCTCTTTTAATTAATCGTGTGAATAAAAGTGGAATTTCTTTGTATTATTTGCTTCATTTGGTATATAATTTATTTAAAGACATAATAATTGTATAAATGTTTTCTAATAATAGTGCAAAATTAAAGTACTGACTAAATATTAAATTGATTTGAGCAAAATGATTTATAATCGCTCATATCTTACAGTTAATATTAAATTAAAAGTCATAATTATTTTTTTCCAGACATAACACATTATTGATAAAAATTCATTAATAACACGATAATATTATCAAATTTAAAACACATTGTAAATCAATTTAACTAAGCAAATAGCACTGTATAACCACTTGTATTACACTTTTTATTTAAATTAATATGGTTAATTAAATTATCGCAATATATTAATAATAAAGTTATTAAGTTTTTAAATTTATAAATCAATAAAATTTATATAATTCAGGCTTTTATTAAAAGGGACAACAGCCTGCTTTAGGCATTAAAAATAAAAGTTTTCAAACAACAATAAAATACTGTATATGCAATGAATAAATAGAGAATTTTGTTTTCGTATATTTTTGCACTAATTTCTAAAGTTCTGTAACTATTATTGTGTTTTCCGTTATATTTTCTTTATTTAATACTCAAATTCTTTAAAAAACGAAAATGTTAATTAGTCATTAGAAAATTAAATTATATGGTCGTTTATATTTAAAACTAATTATGCAATTATATGCAAAAATGAAAATATATTATGCAATATTTATTATACAGTATTTAACTAACCATTTCATATATTTATAAAATTAAAGTCATTAAATTAATATGTTAACAAAAATATAGTTAATAAAAAGTTAACTTTTATTATTGTTATATTAATAAACAAGTAATTTCAATAATATTACTAATACATAATTTACATAACAAACACATACCTTGAAAGGGATATCCGGCAAAAAGTGGACGAATGTTTATAGCACTGGAAACTGCCATAATTTTATTGGTTGTGATTTAATTGAAGATTTGGTTTTATGATAATTTGAGGTGATTTTTATGACACAATCAGTTGTTTAAGCAAACGGTTTGCAAGCGTTTGATGTTTAGGACCACAATTAGAGACGATGTGATGGGAGATGTAATGGTATCGAGAGTTAGCGTTACTTCGGCTCCACTTATGGAGTGCTATAAAAGATCATAACATTTATGGCTGTAATTCACCGACAGTTCATAATAACACTGATTATGAGCTTATAATGAATTTATTGCAAATAATAAGAAAGAGAAACTTATTGTAAAATTTACTTACTTTTCAGAAGAGATGAAAAGGAAAAATATATATATTTATGTTGGATAACAGTTGACTCAATGCACTGAAAATCCACTTGAATTTTATGAGAAATGTTTAAATCCGTCTGAATTAGAGTCGTTGACAATAAACAAGAATAAGTCTTTACAGAAAGTTTAAACTATTTATTATAGGACTGGGAGGACCGGGAGGCGCAACACATCTTCTTTGACAGACATAAGGCTTTTGTGCGAAACAAACTTTTTTACTCAAACACTCTTTTGTGTATCTCTTGTACGCAAAGCGCTCGACAACCGGATTGGCCGCCGGATCATCGCTTGGGACGTCCCGTCTATAGTATCACACAATACCCACTGCTTTACTCTATTATAACCGGCGTTATTGTACACCTATTGTACACTATTGTGCTTTTAATTCATTAAAAACAGTTCACACAACTTATAAATACAGATTGTGTTTAATGTTTCCGATCAATAATCAGTTAATTCGCTGCATTAGTAATACAAGAGGTGTCAAGTCGTGTGCTTTACAATTATGACATAGATTTCAATTGTCTGTAATCTTGCATTAAATTTACAAATCGGTTGAATTGCTTTTATAAGTAATCTAAAGTTATAAAGGTAACTTTGATTGTTTTTTGTTATAAACTACTTGTTACTTATTTGAGAATATATTTTACTAATTAATAAATTTATTCTAAATAATTTGTAAATAAATAGGAATAATAATGTATTTTCAAAATAATTTAACCAAACATTTGAAATAAATTTCTTATATTTCTTAAAACAATTTAAGTAATGATTAATTTTCCAGAAAATGTTGATTAAAAAATTTAATACAAATATTAATAGAAGTGAATATTGTTTGCAAAGTAAAGAGATAAGTGATAATAAATGATATATTCCTATAAATCGATAATTAAGTGAAAGAAATAGTTTACATGAGAAACACATACCATAAGAGATATGAGCGTTAATTGAATGGAAAGTATGCCAAATGCTATTTACAATCTTTTTATGATTCTCATGATCACTGATCACTGGCATCACTGTTGAGGTTTTGTCATCAATCAACTCGACTTTACTTTACAGCCCATTTAGCTTAAGGTCTTATTCAGTGGGGATCCCATGTTTGCCAATAATTGGGAGCTTCTCCTTCCTTACATTTACACTATTTCTATACTTTATTCCAATATTTTCTATTAATTAATCATTTAAATAAGTCTGAGAATTGCAAATAATTAAAATTGAATAAGAGTAAAAAAATTAATAAAAATAAACAAATAATACAGGTATTAATAAAATGTAAAATCTAAAAGTTGCAAAAGTTTGTCAACACTGAGCCGACCATCAAAACAATGTGAGAGACGTTTTGATAGAAAGGCAGTAACGAAGACTTGTTTGACTGTTTGAAAGTCATTATTACATGGCTTGAGGAGATGGGCTGTGAAATGAGTGTTAGAAACGATGGGACAATAGACACAAACACCGACTTAACTGCTACTTCATGTTCGCCTACACTTTAATGATAGGCTGTAAAATAATTAGGTTAGAAAAGCTCACTGTTCTCCCCCTTTGACAATGACCAAGGTAATGGGTAATGGTATGGTCTGGTATGATATGGTAATGGAAAACCTAAGGCGAATGTAAGAAAAGGTCAACTTTTATCTATTTCTCGCCGAAAAAGCTTTTTCTAAGAAAGGGAAGCGTAATGTGATTGCGATGAGAAAATCCTCTGTCTTTACCCTCTATTGGACGACACATTGATTGTAAACCTATCTATAAATAAGTCAGTCAACGAGAAAAGTAATAAATATGCTTCATTGAGATTCAGTTTTATTGTGTAATATTATTACAAATATGAATGAAAAATACTATACTAAAGAGTCTATAAATAAGAGTTGACTAAATATAAAAAGCATTTCAATTCGTGAGAGAAAAAAGTTGTGTTCAATTAGATTCGGTTGTGTCTGTCTTTGATGACAACACCTATGCATTCATTAGTCAACTGTTGGATTGTTTGGGGCGTTGAACACCTCTGAACACAATCTATGAATATTTTGTGAATTACTTCTCGTGTTTATTCACATTATTCTTGTTTTTTACTTTGAGATTATAATCACAAGAATAGAAATTGTATTGAAGGCACAGGAAGAACAGGTCAAGTGATGTGGACAGGCGTCTAATAAGAGATTTACTTTATTTACGTATAATATTTTATTTGCACAGAATATCATTTGTAAAAAGTATGTAAGTATTGTTTTACATGAGATTGTATTGTGTCTACACATGGAAGGAGAGGAATGGGTGCTGGCAGGAGGTCCCAGCGCTCAGAAGCTCACCAATGCATTGGTTACAGCAAAGTAAACGTTTTTCTGGTGAGCTTTGCGTTAAAAAGTCTCCCACGACTACCACTTTGTGTTATCGGTGCCGGTATTAGTGAAGGCTATACCTCTAGTTGTGCTCTGCCTTTAAAACAGACATACATTTATCATAAACTCAAAAACTAAAATAAAATTATGAGCGATTGAATCGACTCTTCATGTGAGGGCCTATGAGAAAGTGTTTGCTATAAATTATATTCTCTCTATGAAAGAGAAGTTAATTTATGAATACAGTGATGGAAATGAAGAATTATCCATCAGTTGAACGACTATTAATTGAAATCTGAATATTTAGTTAAACAGAAGCAAAGAGTTTTGTTAAATGTGTGATCCTTTTAAATTAAAATACAGAGCATTCATAAAACGGTTTACCGTAAATACTGTCGTCAATCGTCTAATCATCTCATATATGAGTTAACTATTTAATTGATTTCCGGTTATAATAAATATTTTTATTAATATTTCTATACACAATAAATTCCAATAAAATATTATTAATGAATCAATGGTTTTATTGAAAGGTTTGTTCAAAAAACGATAAAAATCATAATTCAATATAAATTCAGATTAAATTTATTAAATCTGAGCTTTACTTAAAATCTCTATTGTGTTTTCCTTGCAATTCACTCTTATAATTGATTTAAAATCATTTTTAAATAGGACTCCGGCGGCCGCCATCTCCACTATCTTATAGCGAATGTGATTGGGAAGCGGGCGTCCATTGATGAATACACCTCCCAATTGGTTGACGCGTCCCTGACCTGCACAGCAATTTGTTACAAACATCGTTTTTAAACATCTATTTTTGATAAACCTTCAATCAAACTTAAGATTTCAATATTATGTGAACTCCATTGAGAATGCATTGCTTTTTAAACGCAAGTTTGCAATTGTTGTCCCGTTTAAGACAAGTTCGCAAATAAGTCTGAAAGCTTTTGGACAACTGTTAACACTCTATTAGACTCGAGATGCGATGATTTGGGACTCAAACACACTGATTATCATTTAAGCAGAAAACATAGGGCGGAGGCATTTGGGACATTAGGGACATAATCATCTCATTACCACAACATTTTCTCAATAGTAAGTTAATTAATACCAAATTTTATTCATCTATTGATTATCAATCATTTTGGTAGTGATGAGTGAAATAGACATCTCTGGCCTTCAATTCAATAATTCATTTCATTCTCACAGACTTTTCTAATAATTTTGCAAAAGATGTTTTCAAACAAAATCTCTTTATTAAAAGTTGTATTAAAGCTTATTATAACTTATATAACAGTTATTTTAATAGATGTGTTGATAATACGCGGGTTGACATATATTACCGGATATTTGTTTTTAACAAAAAGATATTTTGCAAATAATGCGTTAGAAAATTGATTTGTTTGAAGTATCCATTTATCCGACTTGTATATTAACATTAAGAGTATTGTTTAATTGAAAACATATGTTATCCATGATTGTGTGGGAAAAATTATATTCATACTATAGACTAGCAATAAATTACTGAATGATTCCTTTGACTTGAGAAATAAATTAAATGTTCTGTAGTTAAAGGGTTTAGATGTAGGCAAACAAAGGCTCAATACTGAGGTGCGATCTTTAAAGCATAATACAATATATTAAATACTGTTTGTGTTTCTATTGCTGTCAAACAATTGATCGGTGGGCATGGAAAACAAGTTATTTTGTATACAGTAAGTATACAAAATACCTGGTTTTCCATGCCCTTCGATCAATTTTACATTAACTTTAGGCAACACCTGTGCAGTCGATGCAAAAGAAATAAAAATCATTTTCGCACACATTTTTGCCACTAATTTATTGCATAACTCGATGCTTAACATAAAAACTCTTCTCTAACTTTTTCTTTCTCGCCTTCACTGTTATAATAGACTTGAATTTATTTTTTGTTTGAGTTATTCGACAGCTTATTGTTATATCTTATAAATAATAAATATTTTTCTTATTACAAAACCGCTCTTTTAATTAATCGTGTGAATAAAAGTGGAATTTCTTTGTATTATTTGCTTCATTTGGTATATAATTTATTTGAAGACATAATAATTGTATAAATGTTTTCTAATAATAGTGTAAAATTAAAGTACTGGCTAAATATTAAATTGATTTGAGCAAAATGATTTATAATCGCTCATATCTTACAGTTAATATTAAATTAAAAGTTATAATTATTTTTTCCCAGACATAACACATTATTGATAAAAATTCATTAATAACACAATAATATTATCAAATTTAAAACACATTGTAAATCAATTTAATTAAACAAATAGCACTGTATAACCACTTGTATTAAACTTTCTATTTCAATTAATATGGTTAATTAAATTATCGCAATATATTAATAATAAAGTTATTAAGTTTTTAAATTTATATATCAATAAAAGTTATATAATTCAAGCTTTTATTAAAAGGGATAAAAGCCTGCTTTAGGCATAAAAAATAAAAGTTTTCAAACAACAATACAATACTGTAAATTATATGCAATGAATAGATAGAGAATTTTGTTTTCGTATATTTGTGCACTAATTTCTAAAGTTCTGTAACTATTATCGTGTTTTCCGTTATATATTCTTCATTTAATACTCAAATTCTTTAAAAAACAAAAATTTAAATTGGTCATTAGAAAATTAAATTATACGGACATTTATATTTAAAACTAATTATGCAATTATATGCAAAAATGCAAAATATATTATGCAATATTTATTATACAGTATTTAACTAATCATTTCATATATTTATAAAATTAAAGTCATTAAATTAATATGTTAACAAAAAATAGTTAATAAAAAATTAACTTTTATTATTGTTATATTAATAAACATTTAATTGCAATAATATTACTAGTACATAATTTACATAACAAACACATACCTTGAAAGGGATATCCGGCAAAAAGTGGACGAATGTTTATAGCACTGGAAACTGCCATAATTTTATTGGTTGTGATTTAATTGAAGATTTGGTTTTATGA